GGAGCAGTGGATGTAGATAGTACTATGCATTGGAAAGGTATTTGGAGAATGGATCTCTCATCTCTCATAGCCTCATCTTAGACAGCAGTGTTTATGTATTAAGGTTTCAGGTATAAATTTTTCATTTGTTTATAGATACTTATAGTACCAGTACCATCACCCTTTTGAGTTTTAATACTTGCCTCCAATACTCAGTTTTTCAAAGCATTGGTATCTCTTACTAGATATGCCATTTGGTTTCTTATTTTTAATCAGAGCATTTGGCTGAAGATGTATTTCGTACAAGTGTTGTTTGATGGGTATTGTGTTGTGGGATAAGTTTAATCCAAGTAGATTTAACTTTGCAGTTATTGAGACACCCTGCATGGCCATCTAACCTCATATGTGTGTAATCTAGGCAGACTACTTAGCTGTTTTAATTACTTTAAATACACAGCAGTGCTTTTACATTGTATAAACTTTTTGCATTCAAATACAAAAGACCACAACCAAAAAAAATGTTTTCTACATAAAACACTAGTTTTTCCCCCCTAGCTATTTATTAAACCTTGGAAGTTTGAAATTAACTAGGATTCAGAAGCACTGAAAATAAACTTATGATTATCATTCTTATGATGTTTCAACATGACTTGTGGTAAAAGTAGTAGGTAGGATGTCTATACTTACTATAACAATCAGTGTAGATTAAAAAACAGATACCAGCTTTTCTTCTATAAATTTTGCTTTTATAGATAGTTAATGGACAAAGATCAGGGCAGTTGTACAGAAGTTGTAGAAATATTTTTTTATTAACAAAAACTAGCTTTTCTTTGCAGAAAGTGGGCATGAGTTAAGGTTGGGAGACAGAATAGTGAAAGCAACATGTTCATACTGTAAAATAATAAAAAGGAGTCAGTGGGCTGCATATAAAATAACACAAAGTACATAAAAATGGTTTGAGGAAAATGCAACTGTTTTACTGATTCAGTCATAATGAGACTCAAATGCCTTTTAAAATGTAAACATTAACCCATTGGAGAGTGAATTTTATTTATTATTCTCAGAACTTTAGTTAAAAGTAACATGGGCGTATAAATTGCATATAATAAATATTATATTAACATTTGTAACTCTCTTCAGTTTTTGTTGTTTGAAACTGTACTGTTGTACTTTTAGTAGCCTTTTTCTTGATATCATCAATGTTGTGGTGCAGTAGCTGATGGTATCAAGGTTTTGGGTTTTGCTGGCTATAAAGAGAAGGTTGCTGTTTAAGCTATCCAAGCAGTGTGCTGTTGCTAGTGGCATAGCAAATGGGATTTTAGGTTGAGTCTACATAAATACTGAATACAAGTTTAAAGAGGTTATATTCTTATTGTATAAGTTAATGGTTAAGCCAATTGGAGTATTGTGTCCAGTCTTTGGCTCCTTACCTTACAAAGGACATTGTATTGTAGGAAAGACTTCAGAGGAGAGCTACTAGGACGATACCTGTGATGGAAACATTGTCATAAGAGGAAAGGTTAAAATCTCTAAAATTGTCTTTTTTTTTTTGAAAAAAATAATAGGGTTCCTTTCTTGGGTTCCATTGTTCTCATTTGTGAACCTCTTCTTGAGGAATTGTCATGGACCATGGCCCTACTACTTCCAGCATTCCTTACTGCCTCTCCAAATAGATCTCTTTCTTCACCAGTGCTTCCCCTTTCTGATTGCAGCACATCACTGGATGAGAGCAGGACTTCTAGTGTTTGGACATGGAACATCAATCTCGCTTTTCAGTTAGTCATATTCCACGGTCATTTCTTGCTTCAACGACTAAAGAGGCACCTGTTCTAGGACCCTTTGCTGTTGGGTGTTGGACATACATATCACATCAGGTTTAACTCATTGTCTGTCATTTGCTGGGAGTTTCAAACTTGGTAGCTGACTACCTCCCTCACTTGAGGTGCATTCTACCAACCGAGTGGTCTCTACACCCCCAAGTCTTTTGTGAGGTTTCTCTTGTTTGGCCATGCTCCTAATGGATGTTTTTGACACCTTTCTCTACTCTGGGCTTCTTCTCTTTTAGTCCACTAATCTTCATCCTTTGGTTCTAGCTGTCAATCTCCTCAGCCAGACCTGTTCTCACCTCTTTCTATATGCCTATCGCCTTATCTGTTTCCATCTTCTGGCCTTCACCTTGATATGCATCACTTTGTGTTGAATCATATGGGTGGCACCTCTTTGGCTAGCTCAGCTTTGGCTCCCCCTACTTCTTCACTTATCATTCTCTCTCACCCCTTCATCAGCTCAGTTTCCCCTTTCTATTGCTTCACCCCCATACATCCTTTTTTCATCATGGGATATCTTCTCTCCTACTTTACACATGGAATTTGTCCAATCTGTCACCCATTGGGCCAGAATTTCCAGACTGTGTGGCATTCTTCTCATCACATTCCTGTCACTCTTCCACAGTGTTTGTCTGTTGATGAATATGGTGGGCCTTTCATCATTGGTCCATCCAACACACTTTTACTCCTGGCCATCCTACATAGTGAACCACCTTTCTGCCTTTGCTAGTTATTGGGTGGCCTTTTTCCTGTCATTTCACCTTTCCCAGTTCCACAAGGTGAGGTGATTCTTCCCTGGAGCTTACTTCATTCTTCTCCAACCTTCTCACCCAACTCCCATACTTGAATAAGACCTAGTGAAGGGTTGCATGCTCTTGTGCATGCCCTGTTCAAGCTGTTGACTTTTTGTTTTTTTGTACCATCTTTCTCCTCAGATTTATTTCCTCCTCCTTGCCTGCAATTACTGTCATTCTGTTGTCTGTATTCTGAATGGTTCTCACACCTTCATCTACTGCTTTTATATACTTCTCTCCTTATACCAATCTTTCCTTCCTGAAACTTCAACTACTCAGGAGGGTCATCATACTTTATCTCCTATTTCCTTTCCTTCTAGCTCGCAACTATTTGGTCATTCATACCCAGATTGGCTCCTTTGTTCTGTTCAACCTGTTCAGTGCTCTTTATCACAGCCTCTCACTCTTGTGGTCCCCACCATTGTCCATTCCTACTGTGGGTGTTCTCTTCCACCAGGGGCTTGTCCTTCTACCCTTATTGGATATGTCTGTTGAATTCTTTGATTTGTATGTTTATCTCTGTTTGTGGATGCTCACAGGCTATTTCACAATTCTTCACATTTGATTCATCACCTTTCTCATTTTCTTGCATCTAATCTTCACTGGCTTTGGATCAAAATCCTCAAGGTGGGCATGTGGATGACTCTCCACACATTCTTTTCTTCTTATCTACACCATCTGTCTGGTTTCCATTCTTACTGGTTACCATTTTACAATTACCTCACTGTCTTTGAGAAAAGTACGTACCATTTCTTTTTCAAAGCCCCTTTTTAATTTCTTAATCCTGCCAAGTGACTGGTGTTGCCTCCAAGGGTATGCTTATTTTCCAATATTTGCATTGAGCCAGGATAGTGGAAAGTTTTCAACCCATCTGCCTTGACTCTACCAGTGCCCACTGTGAGATGGGGTGTTCCACAAGACCACTTGAGATATCCCCATAGTATACATATTTCATGGATAGTCATGGAAAAATCCAGCACCAGGAAAATGATCTGCCCACTTCTTTGGCTTGTGTTTGCTGGCTTTAAAAATAGGGTTTCATGGATACTCATTACATTGTTTCCAGTAAAAAACCTTTCTGACTTGAGGTCTGATGGGAATCTGGGCACTTGCCTTGACACTTACCAGTTCCTAGCTACTGGGATGGTGGACCATGGAGAATCCACATTGATTGGGCTTAGGACAGTACAGTAGGAAGTGGGGCAGTGGTGACATTATTAGTGTAGTATGGGTTACCCCTCTAAATGATAGCACTTGTGCCCTCCTCTTGCAGCCTGAGTCTATTCAGTAGAATTGAGGTGAGAATGCACTATACATAACCATAATTTCAATTAATGTGCTCTCTTCCTGCAGCCAGTGTCTGTACAGTAGAGTTGAGGTGAGATAAGCACACAAGGTACAGTTTGAACATGCCCTAAACACTAAACATATTGGCTCGCTGATTGCTTGTATGCAAGTGCTTGGATGGCCATGTTTTCATTCCTTTTGTCCCTGTGACACACGAGGCTCATTTGCTCCCTCCTCTGCATTCCAGGCAAAGGGTATACCCTGGTCGAGACTAGATGTGGTCTCCCACAGCTGTACCCTTATGGAGCCTGTGCCATCAGGTGTCACACACCATGGATATGTCTTCAAGCACTGAAGGGAGCTCATCTAAGTAAAATTTTGCAATGGCTCCTCCACGCTTTCAGTGTGGGGTTCTAGCTAATTTGGGTAAAGAGTTAAGTTATAGTCTCAGAAGTTAACATTTTTCTTACCTAAAAATGTATTTCTGCACACCTTCCCACGTCTTCCCAACTTCTGGTGCACATTTTTGTCTTGCCCCTTGAAAGAATGAAGTTATCACAAATGCAAGTGAGTAGAGGGAGTTACTGCACATGGAGGTTATGTTGCCCTCCTATTGGTGGAAGGCTTTTGTCACGTCATCATGCAACAGCGCAATTCACATTAAAACACATGAAATTAGGTGAGAGTTGTCTTAGGGTTAGTGACATCCAAGTCTCTTAGGCAGACACACAAGGAAGATAGCTAATCTGTGTGTGGAGTTATCTATCAGAATTACATTTTCAGGTAAAGAAAATATTAATTTTTGCAGTTTAAATATAACTTTATTAATGTGTGAATAATATGCAACTGTGGCAAAATATATGAATGTAAGATTTTTAATAGTTAATTACTCATGGAAAGCATTCTGTCTAATTACATCCAGACTTATATGTTTGCTAAAAAAGAAGTGTACTGTGTTTTTATGATTTGAGAAATAATTTATGAAGGTAAAAATTTTAATAATACTGTAATTAAGCTGTTTCATACACATGGGTCCACAGGTTAAAATTAAAAGCTAAAATATAACAAAGTGTTTCCTGAATTTAATTGTTACTATTATTTTTATTTTTATCAGGACATTGAAAACCCAATAAAAGATGTAAATAAGAAAAGCAACCACCTTGGAATTGGAGAAAACATGGTTGGAAGTAATGCTGTAGAGGAACCAGCCCTGAAGAAGGTAAAACTTGCAAAAGACAACACAATTGTAGAAACAGCTAAGGTATGTGTATGTGTATATCAGTTACTATATATCTCAAAATAGAAAAAAATAGAGTTTTTTTTTTTTGAAATACACACTACACAAGTTACAAGTCTTAAGATCTAGGTTTTACTGTGAGGTTACAATTATTATTATTTTATGTAATTTTCTGAAACATCTGTAAGCAAGAGATGATATGTAGGTGTTCTAAATTTCATTAAAAATAAACATAATTACTTCATTAAAATTATCTGAAGTTTCTTAATAAAGACATTTGTCTTTTTTAATTTTTAGTACTTGAGGAACTCTTCATAAAGTTTTTTAAAAGACAAAACCTTAAAACAACAGAAGAAATGGTACTTTTTTTTTAACATTATGTCATGGGCGAAACTTTGGTGCATTAATCCATTTTATTGAGTTGTTTCTTATCAGTCTGCTTAGTTTACATCCACAAAGTTAGAAAAAGAATTCCACTTTTTTAAGTTGTGCATTTTAAAACTGAATTTTGCAGGCAGCTAAAGAGTACCTTGGCGAGGAGGATCTTGAAGAAACAAGATCAGGTACCAGGGCTGTTAGAGACAGTAGCAAAGCAGCAATGAAAAGACTAAGCACTATGGCCAAAACTGCCAAGGAAGGTATTCATGTTAAAAAAAATCATCTTGTATAATGTTAAATTAATATATAATAGATCAGTATTTTAATGAAGCTGCACATTCCGCTGACTACATGTTTATTATGTTCTTATGTCTTGGTTGTAGTAAATGTTATTGTAGTGGATGTATTTGTACAAGCACTTCAGTACAGTTTGGTACCTTTAAATGTGGTGTAAAGAATCTATATTTTAAATTTTATTTGGATAATTATCCAGGAGAGGCTTTGCTTAAAGAGCTGGGACATGCTGATGAAGCAACAGAGTCACAGAGGAGACGTACTAGATCTCAGACTCGGGGAGATCCCATTCCTGCACCTCCTCTAAAGAGAACCCCAAGACAGGTTAGAATAGTGTGCATTTTTCCTTTTGATTGCCTTTTATTTTTCATATTTTTCTGTCAGTTTAACTTTTGAGCTTACATCTTGACTACTGTTTATATTCAGATGTGCATAGAAGTATCAGAGAAAAAATACTATGCACATTAAAATTGATATGAAAAATATTTTCTCAAACTTTAGCATTACTTAAAAATCTCGTCAGAATATACAAGAAAAACTTTGAGACCGAGAGATACTTAGTGAACATGATTTATAATTTGTATTTGTGTTACATGTTCATAAGGGAAAATTTAAGCTCACTTATTTACCTCTAGTGGTGGTGCTTTGTAATTTTCTTTCAAGATAATCATTTTAACATTTATAATGTACGTAAGAAAAATTTACATATACTGATGCACAATGAAAACACAAAAGTCTAACTTCTACATCAGTTGCTCATTGGATACATAAAAAATATTTATTTTGAAATATTAAGCAGATAGGTTTTGTTGATTGTTTGAGTAGTATTGTACTTTGGATAACAAAATCCTCAGCTCAAGTCATGTGATTTCATAAAAATGCCATGTGTACTGTGCATTTCATTTGGGCATCAGTATATTAATCCAAAAATTAAAATTTGTTATAATTTAGTTACAACAATGTTTACTTAGTTATAATTGTTAATATTTGAAAACACTCTTACCTCCGCTGACACTGACAGCTATTCCTCGACCTTCAGGTTTTCAACTTTGCCCATCTAAGCATTGGTCTCAGTTGCTCCAGTCTTTTATACCCCACTTAAATGCCCTTGGCAATATCTGTCTCTTGATATTCTCCCCCTTTATCAATGCACCCTCTGTCCTGGTACTGTATATAAGCACCTCACTCAGATAATGTAATCACTTTTTCTTGACAAAGCGTTTGGTCACAGTTTTCTCCAACACAGTGCTGTGCTTGGTTGCTTTATTGATTGCGATTTTGGCATCACCTTGTGGTTTTCCATACAATTATAACTTCCTAAAAAAATTTTTTTTGACGAGCTGTTTTCGGGCATGAATTCCTGTGTTACTGTTACCAGCACGGAGGCTAATCAGTCCGCCTCCCTTATTCCACCTCTGTTATTTAGCGTCTGTCAACAGTTGGGGGGGGGGGGGATGCACTATCAGTTGAGGCTGTCCGTGATTTGATTTGTTGTGGGATGGAGACATATTATCAGCCCGAAGGTGTCTCTCCTGGGGGTTCTGAGGCTGCTTTTCTTGATGATCCAGGACATTCTGGAGGCTTCTCAGGAGGCTAATTTGGATCAACCACCTCCTGCTACTTTTTTTATTAGTCACTCAGGTTTGTGAGGTTTTTGGGCTTTCCCCAGTTGCATTTGATTCTACTCTTTCCTTGATGGTGGAAAGGTCAGGGGGGGAATACATAGTTTTCCTCCTTCACCTGATATAGCTGTCTGTTCATGCTGGGAGATTTACCGCACAGTTGTGTGAAGGGATAGCTATACCTTGTCCCCCACTTTTGTTGAAACAGCATGCTTTGGCTTATCACCACCAGGAAGACGTCTATTTAGATTCTCAAATTCTGGATCCCCTTTTGGACATGTGAGGTTCCATACTGGTGCCTGTGATCAATTTGAATAGATGACAATTTTCTCACATTTGTCTGACCCTCACTACTGTCTTGAGATATTTATCTTCTCTCCAACTTTTTTCTGAAGCCTCTCGGCATTCCCCTCATCAATTTGTAGTAGAATTGGGTCCTTTGCTGTCTTTCACACTGGTCAAATTGTCAACTTCTGCTCTTTCTTTGGTTTTCTGGCTTGTGTGTTGTTGGGACTTATTGGGTAGAGATGCCTTGTTGGAGGGAGTTTGTTTACCTGCTGTCACACTCTGTGAGTTATGGGAGACTCCTTTTCTCCATCCATTGTTGCTTGCAGGTGTTTCAGAGGCACTGGAATTGAAGATTGATACATTGTTCATTTTCATCAATGGCCTTTTGTCTTTCTTCAGTTTCAGCTGGTAGTATGAGCACATCTGCTCGTATCATGTCCCAACCCCCACCTTCAGTTCCTCGATCTGTTGGTACTCACAATAGATTCCATCCTTATCCTCGTGGCTCCTCTTCTCAGGTGGACTGGTGCCAATGACATCAGTGACTGTACTATGCTGGTAGGGTCTGTGTGTGTGTGTGTGTGTGGTTACATCATTTTCTGGAAGTCTGGACTTCCTTCATCACACATCCATGAGTCCTCCAGGTTCTGGTGTCAGAGTTGGTCATTCAGTTCACATCACCTCTCTTATCCTCCCAACCTGTGACGTTTCTGCCTCCAACAGATCTGCAGAGTGTGACTCTTTGTTCCGGAGCTATAAGAGACTTGTTAATCAAGGGAATGGTAGAGGGAGTCGATCACATTCTTCCAAGACTTTATTCCTGTCTCTTTGTTGTTTCCAAAAAGGCAGGAGATTGGCATCCAATCATCGATCTTTCTCATTTCAATAAATTCTTGGATCCTCTTTGGTTCACTATGGAGTCCTTTTTAACCCCACGGTTGCATTTTTCAGCAGATCTCTGGATGACCAAATTCGATGTTGCCGACGCATACCTTCACATCCCCGTAGCCAAGTCATCCTGCAGATTTATATGTTTTGTGCACAAGGGTCAGATTCTGCAGTTCAGGGCTCTGCCCTTTGGCCTAGCATCTGCACACATGTCTTCTGCAACATGGTATGAGCTTTTTCTTGTCATCCTCATTCTTTGGGCCTGTGCACACATAATTATATGGATGACTGGTTATTTCTAGCACCTTCTCGTCAGATGGCAGAACAGCACACCCAGATTCTCCTTTCAGAGGCCACCAAGGCTGGGTTTCTTATCAGAACAGAGAAATCCTTTCTATTGCTAACTCAATACGTTGTCCATCTGGAGGTTTTTTTCAACACATACTTGAGTCTGGCACAGCCGATTCCCATCTGGCTCCAGGCTATGGAGGGAGCAATCAGACTCTTATTCACGTCTCCTTCTCCCACTGTGTGGATAGCTCTCTCTCTTTTGGGGATGTGGGCATCCCTCGAATCTCTTGTTCCTTTGCATGCAGTCCCTTCAGAGGTCACTGCGCGACCAATGGGGCATGACCTACGATCCAGTGGATCATCCGGTCTCCTTACTCAGAAGCAACATATTAGATCTCAAGTGGTGGTTAGATCGGAAACACACTACTGCCGGTGTTCTTCTCCCACTTCCTTGTCCTGGGGTTCATCTTTTCACGGATGCTTCAATTCAGGGATTGGGTCATATATCAGTGTTCAGAAATTCCAGGGTCTATGGATGGACGATTAATCTTCCCCCACGTCAACATTTTAGAACTCCTTGCTGTTCAACAGACAATGGTTCATGTTCCGCCTCTCTTGAAAGGGAAAATAGTCATGATTCATTCTGACAATTCCATGGTGGTGTCTTACATTTCTTGTCATGGTGTTACACGTTCTCTGACGTTTGTTTTTTTTTTACTTTGGATGTTCTCTACTGGGCTCACTCCCATCTTATCAGCCTTCTAGCTTGCCATATTTTAGAGGTAATGAATTTGATGGTAGATTCACTCCTTGTCGGGCGATGTTGGTTACCCTATATTAGCCGGTGCACCCATGGTTTCTTCTTCTTCAGTATCTTCAAGAGGGTCCACCTCTACCCTACCCCTTCATCTTTGGCCATTTATGTTGCAGCAACCCAATCCAGTCATTGGAGTTTCAACAATCTCAGAATGTATTTATGTTTGCAGGCAGAGAATATAGATGTATTTTGTCACATTGTTCATGTGGAGTTATTTTTTTAACACATCTATATATTTGTAAATAGCTAGGTTTCTGTTTTCTATTTGCTGATTATTATGTTATTGTCTGTTAATAATGAACTATCATAGTGTAACATTCCAAGAGGAAAAGTTTTTATTGGAATTAAAAAATATTGATATATTAGCACTTTAAGATGAAAATACAGTGTGGCCCAAAATTATTTTTTCTGTTTTAAGATTTAATAACAAAATAACCATGCAGCTTTCAACATCTTGTAGCCCAACTCAAACAGTTTCAATTCAAATGGTAAAAACTCTCAAAATGAAAATTTTGCCAAGTAAATGTTAGTTTATGGTAACACTTAGTCTAAAAACTTTTCCTAAATTAACTATTTTAGTATCTAAAAATGGTAAAGTCTACAGTTTATTCTTTAGTCATAAATTTAATATTACTATGTTGACTATTTAAATAATTTTGAAAATCATGAACATCTGATTTATTTTTAAGCACCACAAATATGTCATCAGTGTATCTTCTGTAATATGACGACTTAAATTGTTCAGGACAATTTTCTAACTAACTTTTTGTGATAACTTAAAAAGAAATTAGCTACACATAGTTCTATAATTAATTTTTTTAATTCTGTATTCTGTTAAAATTGTGTATTTTGAAATCCAGTTGAGCTGGTTAAAAATATGGCATTTACATGAATGGTTGGATTATGTAGGAAGCAACTAGGCGAGGACGAAGAGGAAGGCCACGAAAAGAAGAAAGAAGGTCATCAAGTGAGGACTTTGACCAAAAGGATGAAAAAGAAGACAGCAATGACGTGAAAGAACAGGAAACAACAAAAGTGAACAATAAAGAGAATGAAGAACAGGAAGAAAAAGGAATCAATCCACAGACAGAGGTGTCTACGGGAGAAAATGAGCCACCTTCAAGTCAAAACTGATATTTTATGTCACTCAGCTCTGATTTTTCAACAAGCAGCTTCATTGCCAGGGAAAAAAGGGATTTGTAAGATTTTAAAAAAGTATATATATATATATATATATAAAGATAAAATGAAATTAATGGAACAACTAAACTCCCCTCTTTAATTCCAAGGATTTTGGTTTTTTTAAAGCCACTGTGGGAGATCCATAAAACATTTCTCTAGAATCTTACATTTTTCAGTTTAGCCACCTTTAACTTTTGAATCTTACTAGTTTACATTTTACAACTTAGATAGTTTTTCTATGTATAGATATATATTTTGTTCTAAAGAAAGTTTATGGCTTTCCCTATAAGGTTATTGTGTTCATCTTTTATTGGGATGTTTAACAACATCTAACAATCACTAAGCTTAGTTGTTAAATACTGAATGAAACTTAAAAAAAAACAAAAAACAACTAATTATTCTTGTGTGTTCCTGGTTGTGGCATAGAACCTTTGCTATGACTGACACCAGTCCCAATACAAGGAATGTTTTATATATTATTCTGTGGTGCAAGTAGAATACTCTTAAAATATGAGTACCTAAATAACCATTTATCTGTAAGTAAGTCTCAGAAATCTGTTCATAAGTGTAACAGAAGTAGATGTTAAAAATGTTGCCAAGCCCACATAATCATTTCTTGTACTTAGATTGTTTAAGAAAACAATTTGTAAATCTGTCTGTTTTGACCATAGAACATACTCAGCATTTACATGTATTGTTATGAAGGTCGTGTGTGTGTGTGTTTCATCATTCAGGTGTAGCAGTTGATATCTTACTGCTGCATTGTGCTATTATTTTTTATTAACAAGTGTTTAGTTATTATTTTCTAACACATTTTTAAACATTTTTAGAGATGTAATTTCACCTATTTAAGTGCCAAAAAGTATTATTCAGCTTTTCATTTCATAATTTAAGAAAATTTGTCATTGAATATGAAGTTTGGAGTTTGGTATTCAAAATCCAAGAGAAATTGCTATGATCTGCAATCAACAGGAGACCCAAGCATTGTTAAGGCAGTTAACTTCTGAGTTTTTCGCACATTATATTAAAATGTAAAACTAAATGAACATAAAGGAGGTAAAATTACTTTTTTCTTCTTCCAGTATTTTACTATAGGTGAATTGGATGAGGCTGATTGACAGTGGCACAAACTTAATTTTTCTTTTTTTTCATTTCTCTCAGGGTCTGCATGTCATTGGAAACAAAGACAAGAACTTGACAAATTTGTTAAAATTAACATGAATGAAAGTTCAAAACTACAGGTTTTACATTTAATATAGTAAATTACAACTTTTATTTTATTTCTTACCCTAGTATTTTGTAGTGAGTTAACTGAAAACTTTTTAAGAAATTACAAAGTAAAAAATATAAAAAGTTCCAAAAATATTACTTGCTAATATTAGTTTTAATATTTGTATCTTTTTTAGACTATTTTATTTTTATCTGAGAAAACTTAGATATAACAAATTTTGATTATTTATATATTGAGGCTTAAAGATTTAGCATTGCAATCTGCCTTTGAGTTATAGCAATGTTTTGCAAACATTAAATAGCAACACCTCCTTAACTCAGCAAAATATCTGTTGCACTCTCTCCCCTTCACATTAAAATAATGTTTGCAAGTAATACCAGCAAAATCAAAATTTTTTTTACCTGTTTTTTAATAATTTTTTTTAAATGAAAAAATGCTTCTAAGGAAGAATAAAAAGTTTTGAGAGCAAAGTGATCGTTTTGTTAGGTTATAGTCATCTCTAACTCTTCTGTTTCTTCCATCATTATTTTTGGGCTTTCCTTTCAAAAGGCCGTGCCCCCCAGGGGGTGCACTGCCACAGTTTGGAAAACACTGGGTTATAGGATTAAACCTAAATAAAATGTATACAATACTTCTGCTCTTAAGAATACCAATAAATCACATAATCTTAAAATTCCTGTTAAAATTAAGAATTATGCTGCACTAGTTATGCACACACACACATTAAACATACGTTGAAATTTTCCTAAATTTAACTGATTTTGCTTTAAAGAAGATACTTTATGTTACATCTGTAATTTTTTTTATTAATATTTTGTACAGTGACAGTAGATCTTGTTTTTATATATGTTTTCATACAGAAATGTTACAACTATGTATCATTGAATAACAGGAAATAGTAATCTGAAATAAAACTCGTTGTTCTAAAAATGTTATAATAGATGAAGAAGATATTAGTTGAATTATTTTTACTGGAACCACATAAAAGTATAGTAAAAGTTGATTGTCCTTTATGTTATCCTGTATCCTTATTTTGTATGAATTGTTTAATTTTAACATTTTTTCCTGTACTTTATCTTCAGAAGGGATTAGGAAGGTGATGGTTTTACCTGATGTAAACAAATGTGAATGTACAAGTGTGGTTGCTTTGGTACAATGATATCAGTCACAGTATGCAATATGTCAGTTTAAAACTAAGAGAGCAGGTAGAAAACCAATAGGTACAGCATCCTTATGTTCAAGGTATACAGATGTTGATTAATGTACTAAATTCAGACTCAAATGTATGGTTATCTTTGCTTTTGAATCTGCCATTTGGTCAAAATTGCTTGTTCTCTAGCAGGAGAGAATGTGTAGCTAATGAATATACATAAGGATATAAATATTCGTGTAGGCCAAACTGTCAAGAACGTGCTTTGACAAATTAAGTCAAGATAACCAGTCTATTAAGTATTAAAATAGTTTCAGTTTAGTGTTTTTTGAAAGTTTTCACGCTTTCCTTATTGATGTGGATTTCATGATTCATATGTATAGAAATAGATTCGGAATAATATGAATTAACTTGTTATTTTTGCGATTCTCATGATCCCTTATGGCCACAGAATAACTGGAATAAGCCAATCACTCAAACATGAAGCTTGCATATCACAAGACATATTCTGGAGTCTCCTGGCACACATTTCCTTAATTCCAACATTCTGTGTTCTATTATTGGCATTTAAATTGGAGGTCTATATGCAAATTTTGTAGACATGGTGATACACAGATGTTATACAAGTATACCATATTCAGAGCAATCTTTGTTTGCTCTAGATCTAATCAAAGTGCCACCTTCCTAAAAATGAAAGTGTTAAATAGATGGGAAATGATTGGTCTGTAGTGAACGTTACCAATTTTCATAAATTCAAAAATAATTTGATTAACATACTCGTTGCATATTTTGTTAGAATTCCCTTAGATTTTTAACAGTTTTTGTCTAGGGGCATCAGTAGACTATACCAACATTTTTTTTCTAGTTAAAATATAAAATTTGCTGTTGCTTTGAAAGTGTGTTTGTTAAGCATATGAATTCACTTGTGTTAATTTATAGCTCAAAAAATATGGCATCCTAAGTAAAAGAAAAAATGATTCTAGTTGAACCTTTTACTGTTGGATTCAAAAACAGAAAAATAATTAATGTATTAATCAGTCACTATTCAGGATCAATTATGTTGTCATTACTTTGTTATCACACCCCTTAAGTGGTAGATTTAATATTGGTATGATTACTTTATTATCCAAGACCAGCCCTGCAGGTAGTACTTTTGATACTGGTATAGTTACTTTGTTGTACTATATAAGCTCTGTGAGTGGTAGTTTTAATACTGCTTAACATGAGAACATTTAAATTCTGTGCTTACTTTATATTTCTTACCCTTGTAAATGGTGTACTTTGATAAAGTCATTTTTAAAAGTTGTAATATTCTTGGTATACAGTGTCTAGCAAGATTACTTGTAGGTAAATTGAAACACTTCTTTATGTTTTTCCAAGTAGAATTGTGAAAATATTAAAATTTCAGTAATTAAGCACATTAGTTCACACCTGATTTTCATTGTATTCAGAAGAATGCAAAGTGGAAAACAAACACACTTGATAATAATTCTACCTGCATAATAAAGTTTAGAAATTGTTTGCCGAAGACAAAACTGTAAATGCACAACCACTGCAAAATACATTTTTGTTACTTCTAAGATGTTCTAAACTTATTTTAATATTAAGAAAATCATGAAAATCTTGTTAGATTATGGTTTTATGAATAATGAAAGCATTTGCTGACATGTTTTTAAGTTCTCCAACAACACATGAATAGATGGGATACCTCAGGTTATTTCCCTTGTATTCATATCCTGATATTTGGTTAGTTTTATCATTAGACACATCCAAATCAGTAGATTTGTAAGGTTTAAAAATTTCGTTTTTCACAAACTTATATATTATAGTATATTAATAGTGTGTTATTATTATAAATAAACTTCTTTGTCTTAGTTACTATAATTATGTTATTTTAAACAGAAAATAGCATTTGAATTGTAGTACAGTGTTACTGACATAAGAATTAATTTGCTATGCACAGGATTTTTCATTGGTACCAAGAAATAACTATAGGATTTGTATATGTGAAATGAACAAGTCATTTCAATGATAAATATCACTAGCCCCAAGGGAAACATATAGCATTATAATAAGAGTGTTACTAGATATGAATTCACAGTGGTCATATTATAGATTTTCTTGTATATTAAGAGTAAAATATATAATGTAATGTTTTAAGCTTTTTTTCCCCCCTAAGGATTAGGTCAGATTTTGTAAAGTGTTTGATTTTTTCTGTGTGTGTGAAGTATTTTTTGTATTCTCGACATAGTTTAGAAAATATCTGATAAATTATAACTTTGATTTGCCAAATGAGTAGCTTAAATCTATGAAGAAGGAAATAGTTTTAGCATCTGTTGTCTGTCCTGAATACTGATGAATTTTCATTTCATATCTTGGTATTTTTTAGTAACTTATAATTAAAACAGACTTGTGAAAAAACATATCTACTACTTGGAAGTAAAACATAGTCTGTTTAGAAAATTTTATATAGATGCATTGATAATTTTTTGTCTTAAATATTAAAAGAAAATTATGTTTTCTGTTTTTGACTCCTGTAGCTTCATCTGTGTTGCAATTTGATAAGGTTACTATTAATATTCAGGATCTAATTTTTAATTTTGATTCGGCTAATTACAAAGCCTATACCACTGTTACACAAGCTTGAAGACACTGGAGATGTTGGTTCATTTAATTTTGTTGAGTGAAGTGAATTATTTACAAGGTTCTTGATTTACAGATTATGGTTTTATGTTTATGCTGGAAGTATTTTGTATAGATTGCATGAAAGCTTTTTTTTTCTCCACTGGTGGCTGGAAAAAATATACTGTAAAAGACGTGATGGATTTATATATATATCAGTGCTTCAATTTTATATCTTACATGAAAAAAATTAAAAACTTTTTAATAACAAAACATCAAGGTCTTCATTCCAAGCAATATTCATTTCCGTTTTTAATCATTACATAAGTTGTATTTCTTGTTTGTGAATCATGTGTGAGCTGTAATGTATTGTCAGTTTTAATAATAAATGTTCATTATATTAAAACAAAAAATTGTATAATAGTTTCTGTGTTGAGGAGGAATGATTAGCTGAGAAAAAAATACACCTTTTTATGTATATAAAAATACAACATT